GAATCGGGCCACGCCCCACTCGTTGCTGTGGGCAAATCGGACCCTAAATCATCTCATTTCTGGCCAGCTCAAACCAGAGAAATAGTAACATCCTTCCTTTTTATTTGTCAGTAAAAAGTCAAAGAAAATGATTATTTAAACAAAGTGTCCTTAAATATTTCACCCTGATCTTTCTTTTCCAGGAAATACAAACGTCCTGATGAGAGCGGAAACTTTCACTGTTAGACATCTTTTGGAGAAAACAACAGACGTCATATCACTGATTTATATCCTTCCTGCCTCTTTGGGTTTCTCTCTTCACTAGATAAATGAATCTCCTACAATCTAACACAAATATCTATCCTTTTCTATTCAGACTGTAGAGAGGTCAACTGCAGGCTTCAAATCAAGACAACAAAAACAAGAGTTGTTCAAATTGCAGAAAATACAATTTTAGAGATACTAAAATGTATCGTCCTGTTTAAACAAATCAAAAACTTTAAGGTCAATAATCATGTGATGATGACGTCCAACATTGACGATGATGGTGCTAACATTGCACTTTATAGAATATGTTCTGCAACGTCACTAATGAAGTTCCACCATCACCACGTGTCACACATTGAATCTGCACAGAGCAATCCCCGTGTCCCAGTGTGTGAAATCACATTTTGTTATGGCGTTGCAGAAGTGCGAGAGGCATGGCTTAAGTTAGGACACCAGAAAAGAAAGAAGAAACAGAGGGAGCCGAGTCGGGCGTTTGACTCCAACAAGAACTTGTTAACAAACTTATTTCAGTCAACTCCAAAGGCTGATGGGAGCAAAGGCAGAGGGAGCTAATGTTAGCAAGAAGGCTAGTGTTAGTCAGGAGGCTAACGCTAACAGTACTGATCGAATGTGTATACTTTGACCAGACCTTTCAGGGGCCGGGACATATCTGTGGTGGGCCTGCTGAATACATATAAAGTGCATTTCATGTTTAAAGTCCGTGTAAATTAACATGTGCCTTCCTTGAGCTGATTAAGGGCAGTTTCACACTAGGGACCTTGGCCTGGATCCGACTACGCTTGACCCTAAAGTCCGGTTCATTTGATCAGTGTGAACACAAACGTATCGTACTCTGGTACTGTGCTTGAGTCTACTTGAAGAGGTGGTCTTGGCGGAAACCAAATATGTGCATACCGCCACCTGCTCTATCGGACTGTGTTCATATACAAGTGTACTCTGGTACAGAGCGATGTTACTAATGTGAACTCAGACCAGCAGGGGGGAGGGTAGGGGGAGGAATCGGGCTCGGGCACTGTACGAAACAATCGTTCCTAATGTGAAAACGCCATTAGACTTTCCTTGCTTTCCTGATGTTAGTGTTTCAGTGTAGTATTTTTATTTCTGTATTTTTATATATTGGTTGTAAAAGAGGTTTTAGTCTAAAGGGACTTCCTAATTAAATCTTAAAAATAAAAATGTGTCTCCGAGGGCAGGATGGGACAAACTAATCCAGTATTTGGTCTCCCTGGAGTTTAACCCCCCCTTCCTCTGTGTGTGTGTGTGTGTGTGTGTGTGTGTGTGTGTGTGTGTGTGTGTGTGTGTGTGTGTGTGTGTGTGTGTGTGTGTGTGTGTGTGTGTGTGCCATCAGCCCACAGCACAATAGACATCCATTCTGATAAAAGTGCGTACTAGCCAGTGTGGATATCCGGCCTCCTTTCTCTCCTCCTCCCTTTAATGAGGGTGTTACTTTCTGTGGTTTATCCTGTCACTCTTTCTTTCCAATCCCCCTCCAATCCCCTGGCTGCTTTCTTCCTCCTCATTCTATGGAAAAACACAAATGTTGTCTGACTTTCCCTCCAATCCCCTTTAAAGGTTCCGGAGGCGTGAGGGGACACGTCCTTATAGTGTGTGTCTGTGTGTGTGTTTGTGTGTGTTTATATGTGTGTGTTCATACAGATCAGGTTCAAACCTGTAACAGAAGAGACAGAGGTATGTTAAAAAGCATTTTTTTTTGTGTTACAGTTGTTCTTATTTTGATGATTTCTGTGTTTTTCAATGCTAATTAGTCAATAGATTAATGTGACTGGTTGTAAAAATTGGAGATCAGACTTCTTGGACGGTCTGTTAGTCCAATAAAGCTCACAGAGAGAGACAGATTATTAGTCTGATATTTACATGAGCAAATTTCCAAAAGGCTCCAACAGCACAAGCACGGCCCAGAGGTTAAAGGTCCAATCAGTGAGATGTGTAGTGAGTGAAATGATAAAGGTACCTTACTATATGATCAGACATTAAGGAAACATGCTATTTTGAAGTGCTGGCTTTTCTGACAACTAGGCAGCAGCCAGTATGTCCTCCTTCTAACTTTAGATTCTGGTCCTGAATGCTCTGGATTTGTTTGGACCAGAGAAGGTAGGCGGGTTGAGCCACCCACCAGAATAATGTCATGAATCTTGGACTTATCTATCTTGGCATCTCTCAGGGCTTTCTCAACAGGTTGAAGTGTTCCACGAAACAGGTCTCCATTGAGCTCTTCAAGACGAGCCCTGGTGATGGAAGTATAGAAATCCGCACCTTCATCGAATGAATCAATGTCAATGCTGGCTCTATGGGGACTGACTCACTGCAGGAGACAGACTCTAGTGGACACTGGAGGAACTGCAGCTGTAAAGTTGGACATTTTAACATGGGGCTCTATGGAGACTGACTCACTGCAGGAGACAGACTCTAGTGGACACTGGAGGAACTGCACTTTTTGGAACCTTGGTTTTGGCTTCATTTCTCAGCGCTGGAGGTTACTGCTATAAACTCAGAGCTGCTAGAACGGCTAGAAATGATTGCACATGTTTCTAATTACAAATGATATAAATACATCTTGGCTTGCTTTGTCTTCATCCACTGAGAGCAGCAACCTCCATCACTTAATACCCCCACATGCCTGTCTGTCTTTATCAATCACTCTCTAATATATCAACTGTGATTAACTTAAATCAAATCAGATCAGATCAATTAACTCACTCTGTTAAATTAAATGTGCTCTGATAAATCAATCAGTTGATCACAGGTCAGATTATTCTGACACAGTCTGATCAGAGTCTCTGATTGAGATGCACAACGATAATAGTCTCTGTTTATTCATCAAATTACTCCGACCACACAGACAAATCCTTCACGGGAAATATTGACGAAGCCTGAGTGATGTGACCCGTCTGTTCCTGCAGGGGGCGCTGGAGTCCCATCGATGGCGGTCTCCATGCTGGAAATGCTGTCTCAGTCAAACTTTCAGTCAACCTAACGACAGGCTGAGAGCTGGAGCTGAGGTGGGTTTTAAGACTCCTGACAAACCGTTACACCACGCCCACCTGTCAATCATGTCACCTGTCACGCCTTATTGTGAATAACTCTTATCCTTCATCAAATCAAAACTGATGAGTCATCAAAACATTCACCCCCCGTACAGTGTGTGTCGATCGAGACATGAGCTAATCAGACCTATTTGTTTTTTTGAACCAGGCTGTAAACATGTTAATCTCTGCTGTAAAAACAGGCTTTTTAGAATGGGTGTGTATGTGACTGCCTGTGCTTCTGCAGCCAGCCTCTAGTGGACACTCGGGGAACTGCAGGATTTTACACTTCAGCATCGGCTTCATTCATCAACACTGCAGGTTGCTACTGCCTCTTTGAACAAACTCAGTGTCTGACCTTATCTCACTTTTAAAGGTTTATTTTTGGGCCTTTATTTTTGAGACAGGACGGTGGACAGAGTCAGAGTATCAGGGAGCAAGAGGTCAGATTTTAATCTAGGCTGCCCGCTTAGAGGACTATAGCCTTCGCACATGGGGCGTGTGCACTAACCACTATGCTACCGGCGCCCTGACCTCATCACATTTACTGTGTTTGTGCCGAATGCTGCAGCTTTTCATAAATCTCTGCTTAATACAGAAATGGAAAATACAGAAATGTTTGTGCTCCTCTAGTTTTGTCCAACTCTTCTAAATGATCTACAGATGTCATGGAAACCCCCTCCTCACACAAGAATCAAAGCAAACCAGCGGAATACTTTCTAGCTCTGACAGTTTAACAGTCTCCACCCACATCACGTACGAAATAGCTCGAAGGAATGTTTAGTTCAATGATCTTTACAACCCTTATCAAATCCTGCAGCTTCAACCCCCAGAAGAAATATGAGACGAGGACGAGGACATGTTTTTCCATCATTTATTTTGCAAAAGTGTTGTGAACACTCGCAAAAAGAACATCATCATAAAGTTGGTCCAGTAGAAAAAGACATAAAACACTTGAATGATTAATAATACTTTGTTTTCAGCTTTCAATTCTGTCGAGTCAATTTGGAGTCTAGAGTCTAAGTGAGGGAGTGGATGCTAGTAAAATAAATCTCTTCTGTCCTTGAATATAAATATCCAGAAATCTTCCTATGAAGCAAATCTACCAAATCGTTAAACATCCCGATAGAAAATGGCGCCGACTTCTACGTACGAAAAGGGATTAGCTGACTATAAAATGTACACTTTTTAAATTTAACTTAATATTCACATTCATATATCAAACTTAGAAAACCTGCATCTTTCAGAAACCCTCTAAAAAAAAGATTTATTTTAAATGACCATAAACGTAACGGATTATTTAAACGTTTGATCAGCTTCATTAATGTCGTTAATGTTTCCGCCATTTTATTCTGATTCATCTCATAAAAACATAAGTCAATAAATTAACATGCTACCTCAGTCCCTGAAAGCCGAAACTCACCTGTTACTGCGTCCCAGTAAGACAGGTTTGTGTGTATGTGTGTGTGTGTGGTTATACGTGTGTATCCGTGTGTGTTTGTGTATGTGTGTATGTGTGTGTGTATCCATGTGTGTCTGTGTGTGTTTATACGTGTGTGTGTTTCTGTGTGTCTATGTGTGTGTGTCTGTCTGTGTGTGTCTGTGTGTGTTTATACGTGTGTGTGTTTCTGTGTGTGTGTGTCTGTGTGTGTGTGTTTATACATATGTGTGTGTTTCTGTGTGTGTGTGTGTGTGTGTGTGTGTGTGTGTGTGTGTGTGTGTGTGTGTGTGCAGAGAAATCTAGGACACAACCTGTTAGCGTACCTGCCTGTAAGAGGGCGGGGTTATTTCCATACAAAAAATAATTCATTGTAAATATATAATATATATATTTATACATTTTTGAATATATTTACAAATATACCCAGCGCTATACATTTGACTGTGTATTTATTTCTCTCCACGATAATCGTCGAATCAAGAGACAGAAAAAGAAATGCATCAATATGACAAAATAAAAGAGGAGACACGTTTCTATATGAGCTCTCCTTCCTCTCCTCTCTTTGTTAGTTCCACTTTAGTCTCTCTGTCCGTTTTCCTTCTCTTCTGATCCCTCGTTTTTTTAGCAGTTCACGTAGGTCCATACATTCCTCCAGGAGCAGGAAAACAGTCTTGGAATGCCAGCCGCTGGAATGAGACCGCCAAACAAGTCGCCGATTGTGAAACAAAACCTCCGAGTACAAACATGAAAACGTCTGCTGAAGAGGAGGAGGAGTACAAACATGGTCCCTGTCCTCTCCTTTAAGACCTCAGGTGAGTGTGTGTGTGTGTGTGTGTGTGTGTGTGTGTGTGGCAGTGAGAGTGTGCGACAGCAGCGCTGCCACCGGCCCAGCCCCCACTTCAGGTCCATTAGTCCACCAGGAGCCAGAGGGGGGTGATGGGGGAGGCAGGAGGAGAGGGATTCTGTGCTGTGTGTTATGGGGGTAACCCTGGGGCAGGAGGAGCTGGGGTTGGGGGAAAAAGAGGGGTGTGGCCTCATGTTTTGACGTTCCCGTTGATGTGCTGGTACTTGGGGAGGCAGGGCTCGTCCGGTAACGGGTCGTGGGAAAACACTGAGTCGTCGCCGGAGGAGCAGGAGCTGCGGGTGTCGGGGAAGCTGGGGGAATACTGCTCTGCCGGGGCGCACAGGTCCAGGTACTCCTGCAGACACAGAGCAGGGAGAAATGAAGACTCAGATACAGGATCGAGTTACAATAAGAAACACTGAACGTACACATCGCGCGGGAAGTCTGTCAACAAGGAGCGGGGCTTTCCAGAGAGGAGATCACCTGCATGTGATATTTATCTAAACCTAAGACGGATTTATGAAACAGGACAGGAAAAACAATCTTCAGCTTCAGGATACTGTCTGAAAATATCTGCAGGAACAAATCGAAGGTTGGACTGCCAGCAGAGGCTGGAGGCAGAACGTTGACCTGGTTACTTTTCAGTCCAACTTCAAGTGTTCATGAGGTCGGGGAGTTCTGGTGAACATGTAGTCAGAGAAGTGGGTCAGAAAAGTGGCACCCACTGCACCCCGTCATGTTCACCCTCCTTTCAGTCCAAACACATGAGATGTGTGACACTGAAACACTCGACATCGACGCTGAGAGACGGCTGGAAAAAATAAAGAAGCTGGCAGAACCGAACACCCCCCTTTCCAAAACAGAACCAAGATGAAGGAAGATGAAAACCTGCAGAAATCCTGTGATTAATTTCTGCCTGGGCCCAGTGTTGGGAAGTTATTCTGCTCTTTTCATGTCGCTGAGGCTCGTCCTCCCCCCTACCCCTCCCCCTCCCCCTCCCCCCTCCTGCTCGTCTTTCATGGCGGTGTTTGGGTCGAGTTGTGAGGAGGAAGAGCTCTTGGGGTTTTCTAGAAAATGAGCGCTGGCTTCCATTTTCCCAGCTCAACACGAGCAGGCTCACATTACTAAAGACCTCCACATCTGCCAGCGGTTTAGGGCAAAGAGAGAGAGAGAGAGACAGGGAGAGAGAGAGAGAGAGAGAGAGAGAGGAGAGAGAGAGAGAGGGAGAGAGGGAGAGAGAGAGAGAGAGAGAGAGAGGGAGAGAGAGAGAGAGAGAGAGAGAGGGAGAGGGAGAGGGAGGAGGAAAAATTAAAGAAAAAGACGCTTTATTACATTTCAAAAGTTCAAACTAAAAGTCGGCCTTTTTGGCATAAATTCATGAAGTTTCAACTCCACAGCAGACGAGTCCTGACAGCTTTCCATCGACGGCCTCTCTTCAGGCCAGCATGCAGATATCACAAGAGACAGGAAGGGGGATGGAAAGAAATGCAGGCTGTTATACAGGGCGAGCACGGACGTGATGATTGGGCAGCTTCACAGGGCCATGGCGGCCATGTTGGGCCTGGATCGAATCATCCGGACGTTTTTTGAGTCACCATTTAGACCTGGAGTTAGCAACGTGGCTCCTAATGCTCCTAAAGCTTTCAGCAGCTGAACCCTGCGTGCACCGAGAGCGTGATTCACTTTGGACTGAGAGACGTGTTTCTGTGTGGAGGAATGTAACGTATTATTCTCTTTTATTCTCTTAAAACGCCTCCTCTCTGCCGGGAAATCAGCACGAGTTCAGCACGAGTTCTGACCAGGAAGAAACAAAGCGCTGCTCTCACCTCGTTGGTGTTGAGGGTGAGGATCCGATCCAGGTCCTCGACGAGCTGCTTGAAGGTGGGTCTATGGGACGAGATGGCGTGCCAGCAGTCCTTCATCATCATGTACCTGCGAGCAAGAAGATACAAACAAGTTTAATCTGGAGTTGGAGGACGGGTTGTTTCTCTGCCTGAACTCAGACTGGCTGCTCTTCTCGTCTCTTTTGTCTTCCACTTTGCAGCAGACATGATTTCTGCCCCTGGACTCCGGAGTCTCCAAAGCAAAGTCAAATCAAAACGTGTCCTCTGACACTGTTAGTTTGTTTCAGTCGGAGCTCAGAGAGATTAGTTCTGCCCTGAACACACTCATCCCTCCCAGTGTTTAAAAAGGTTTTTATAATGGAAACGTTTTGATTCTGTTTCTGGTACCAAGACGTGAGGCTTCATTCTACAACTCCTCTGATACCTGTGCCATGCATTAACGTTTAACCTGTTTTTGTCACTTGATCATTTGAAAGAATCTGTTTCTTTGGAGGGCTTATTACTGGTTATGCTGTTGGATTGGAGCATTAATGTCACGCCTGCAGATGCCACATTTGAGTCCTCATCAGAATCTGAAAGCAACACTTCAGTCTGTATCTGAACATCGTGTGTGTGTTTGATGCACAGCCATTGTCTCTGCCTTGTTGTCGCTCTCAGTGTGACAGCGCAGCAGAGCCGCTCATTGTCCTCTGACTCTCTGTGAATGAGGACACTGCAGCTGTGCAGGGGCCAAACACAGGGCCGCAGAGCCACAGAGTCATGGATCTGATGGAGGCTGGCTGTCAGAGCTGCTGTGTGTGTGTGTGTGTGTGTGTGTGTGTGTGTGTGTGTGTGTGTGTGTGTGTAATAGTAAGGCTCTTACAGCTCGTTGGTGCAGTTGCCAGGCTTGTCCATACGATGTCCCTCTTTGAGCAGCTTGAAGAGCTCCTCAACAGGAATGCCGGGGTACGGGGACCCCCCCAGGGTGAAGATCTCCCACATCAGCACCCCAAACGACCAGCTGCGGACACAGAAACAAAGATGGCCGTTAATGTATGGATAATAAATCAGTGGGTGTGTAAGCAGTGTTGAGAGGCCGCTGGTCCATCAGTGTCACTGTCCTTTGACCAGTACAGATCGTTTACATGCAGTCACTCTGCCAAACTGTGACACAGCTCGCCCAGTGTTCCCGCCTGGCGTCAATGCCTTCTTTCTGCCGTCCGGTGGCTCGTGGTGCGAAGCCGCTCTCTGTGCCACTCTGCCCTCATCTCAATGACGCCTTTTGTGCCCGCTGACCGCTCACACAGGCGGGCATTGTCCCGTCACACCACACCAAAACAAACAGAGGACCACCCACAGCACACAGAGGAGGGGGGGGGGGGTCGAGAGATGGTTAACGACTATTAACGATTAACTACTTCCTCATCCGAGTGCCTCGCTAAGTCTCACGCCACAGATTTCCATCTCCGTCCTGCTGCAGGTTGATATCACTGAATGTTGATCATTCAGCATGCTGCACAAAGCCTGTGTGTGTGTCTGTGTGTGTGTGTGTGTGTGTGTGTGTGTGTGTGTGTGTGTGTGTGTGTGTGTGTGTGTGTGTGTGTGTGTGTGTGTGTGTGTGTCAGTGGTCCGAGCAGGTCAGTGAACACACACGGGCAGGGCGCAGGTTTATCAGCTCGTCCGTCTGTTTACACAGCAGCTCTATCACTGAGATGAATCTGTCCTCATGTTGACACACTTTGTCTCGTCTCTCAGTGATCGCCATCGTGCTGCAGACGCTTGTCAACCTTCAACCAACCCTGACTCCCCAAACGCCCACACGCAGACCAACACGCTGCGGGTCACTTTAACTGACCTTCAGTCGGTTTGGGGGAGGAATGGACACTGGGGATGAAGTAAGCACACTTCCTTACATTCTTCTGTATTCGAGCTCTGGTTGCTTTACTTTAATAAATTGAACCAATCAGATTAAAGAGTCTGTATCTGCAGGTTCATATTTCAGAGTCTTGTTTGTATCTCATTACACGCACATCTCCGCTCAGCCGTTCGCTCACGATATCGACTGAAAGAAACATGAATATAAATGCTGGAAAACAAGTCAATACTTGTACATGCATCAGCAGAGGCTCCTGAACGTGGTGTGGTGTGTGGGGGGGGAGAGCCCCTCTCTTACTTAATCCTGAGCCCGTCTGTCAGAACAACACGCAGCGAGTTCCATTGGAATTCATGTATTCATTTAATCTGATGTCATGTATGGATCGCCCCTCCCCCAATCCTCTACACCCCCAAACAGACACACACAACACACACACACACACACACACACACAAACACCTCCTCTACAACCCCACCTTCCCTTCACACTCTCTGTGAAAAAGCCAATTACTAAAAGTGAGTGATGAAACATAATTAGCAGAGAGCTGACAGACCACAGAGGATACGTCATACCGAGACCCCCCCCCCCCAGGTTATTGACTGGTGCTGCTGGCGGGGATATGAAGGACATCATGTGTACAGTACACTTGTTATTTATGTGCACACACACACAGACGGTCCAAGTCCGTCACTGAACTACTTCTGTGTTCAGTGTGATGCTGTAAGAATTTATCCCTCTAAGGCATCATCAGACTCAAAAGTGCATTCCTATTTGATCTCGGAAGTCAGAAATTGCGAGTTGACCGCCTGTCATGTCATGGGGAACGCTCTATGAACGACTCTGTGTCGATGTTGTCATGTTACTTCCGGACTCAAACTATCTCGTATTGTGTTGTTATTGCCTGACAGCTAACAAAACAAAGGTACTCCTGGAGGCGTCCATTGTTGTTGCCAACCCGTTAATGGAACGCGGTCAACTCAGGTGTGACGCCATCCCCTGCTCGGACATCTGACTGCCGAGGTAGAGGGAATGCACCAAAAGTTTCTCTGTGAAGTCAGAGGTTACTGTTAAACGACTTCTTCTCTGTGCAGCGTTTTACGTCTGCAACATGGACGTGGTCATCCTAGAGGAGCGCCCGCTGACTCTCAGATCAACAGAAGAAGAGAAGCGACTCCACGCTGACTCACTGCAGCGGTACGAACCTGAAGAAGCTTTATACCTGGTCTCACATTAGCGGGTCTGAAGTTCAGAGGAATAACAACATGATGAGACGCTTTGTCCTCAAGACGAGAAGAAGGGAACTTTTAAAATGTTTTTTAAACGGAGGTCAGATCGATCACTTCTGATGCATTCAGGGAAGTCAGGTAATCTAAGCATTGGTTTTTGTCCCACAGTGTTATGGAGATTGTTAACTCCAGTGTAAATGTTTGATCTGTTTTGCAGATCAATAACTCATCGTTAGAGCGCACTGATGAGAGCTGGTGTGTCATTAGCGCGGATAAATCTCCTGCACACGCACCAACGCCTGCTGCTACGTGATTGGTCAAGACAGCTCAGACCACAAATGAACAAACAGAATGTAGAATCTGTAAATAGAGATTTCTGTATGACTACCACACCCCCACACACACACACAGGATCTCCTCTCCCGGGGGTCAGTGTGCGAGCATTTATCTAATCGCCACACACACTCTCCGTCTGGAGCAAAACTTCAAACACTGCTGTCAGATCGTGTGAGCCTCAAACACAGAAACAGAGACGCTCTTCCTTTGTTCTGTTTTTAGAACCAGAACTCTGCGAGATTAAAAAAAAGAGAGACAGAGACGGGTCAGCAGCTCACACACCAGCTGAATGAAAGGGAGAACGGCGAGCGGGGGGGGGTGTATTGATTGAGGAACGGCTCTAAAATGATGAGCCACATGTTTCAGACTGAGAACCGGAGAGAAGAGGGGACAGAGAGGAGCCGGGTCAGGAGGAAGAGGAGCACAGCTTTGTGATGTTCAGATGTGCAAAAGGCCAAAAGGAGGAGGGAGACTTCCAGGCCGGGCCGGGGGGAGTGAGGGGTGAGTCTGAGGGGGGAGGAGGTGATGGCGGGCTCCTTCCAGGCCCTTTGAAGCCGCTCAGATTAGTAACACGGCATTGGCTCCAAGTCTAGCGTGAAATCCTCACTTCTGCCACAAACCGGCCAGAGCTGGACACACCCTCTGCATACACACACACACACACACACACACACACACACACACACACACACACACACACACACACACACACACACACACACACACACACACACACACACACACACACACACACACACACACACACACTTACCAGCGCTGCACCAAAACACCTCACACACTCCTGAAAAACAAGCCCCTGAACCTGACAGCTGGGTGTAACACGAGTCCTCCAAACAGCACAGAAGAGTGTGTATCACCTCCTCCAGGAAGTCGCCAAACTCAACATCGAGCCTCAAAATATTGGAACCTGCATGACTTAAAAAGCAGCCACCAAATTAGGCATCAAGGCCGCAACCATCACAGAAACAGCCTGTGAAATCTTGCGGTGCTGGCCGACATGGGAGAGTGTGTGTGTGTGTGTGTGTGACACAGTTTGTTTTGTACTTACACGTCACTCTGGTGTGTGTAGACCCGATCGAACAGAGCCTCTGGAGCCATCCATTTCACCGGGAGTCGACCCTGAGGACACACACATACACATGCTCAGTCGAGAGGTCAAAGGTCAAACATTTACACACAGCCCTCTCTTTGATTTCTTTCCCTGTCCTGATAAAAACGTGTTTGATTCTCTGCGGGGAGATCGGACTGGTCCTGCAGTGTGTGTGTGTGTGTGTGTGTGTGTGTGTGTGTGTGTGTGTGTGTGTGTGTGTGTGTGTGTGTGTGTGTGTGTGTGTGTGTGTGTGTGTGTGTGTGTGTGTGTGTGTGGAGGATTCTCCCAGAGGAACATTTACATTGTTAAAGAAGCAGAGCTGATAAACAGGGTCACAGATAAAGAGGAGAGTTTATCTCTGCAGAGCTGACGGAGAAACAAGGTCAATATCTGGGAGATTGAAGGATGATAAGACTGATCTCTTCAGTCACTCTGAGATACTAAACACAGAGAGGACGTCCTGGATCAGACTGCACCAGGTTTATATCTGACTCTGGTACACTGATGGATTGATCCAGCTCTCCCACAAACCCTTGGTCAGCTTGTCTGTCTCACATGATTTGAAGACGTTTTATAGATCCAGTGTTGTTCCTCGTTAACAGCTCACAGCCTCGTTAGCGCTTCTCAGAAAAACAAGACATGGCTTTATTTTTTGAATTTTAATCCTGGAAGTTTTGGAAACTAATTTTTAAGGTTGAACAGATTTACAAAAAACTGAGAAGGTGAGAAGGAGACAGAGCTGATTTCGTAACATGCGTCCTTATGGTGAGTTCCATTTAATCTCTAAAGTCGATATGTCATCAGGAACGCCCCCCCCCCCTCCCCCACCCCGACATCAGACTCACTTTTAGTTGTTTTCTCAAACTCAAGTTATTTATGTCATTATCTGAAGAGGAGGAAACAATGACAGGAAGTGCAAACAAACAGCTTCCAGTCTGATCACAGGTACAGACAGGAAGTGACCAGAGGGGTCCGGCCTAATAAACACGTTCAGAACAACAACAACTTTCTATCTCCTAAACGTAACCGATCATCTCCCTCACAGCTGTCATGCTCCTAATCATCATCATCATCAGCGTCATCACTTAGTGTTGTTGTCACTGTCAGAGGGATTGTGCAAGCGATGAAGATCCATCCACGCATACTGAATGAGGAAGAGGGGATGCTGCTCTGTGGTGGGAAAGAAAGAACCAGCCCGCTGTGGAGATGTCAATTCAGTTTAAGCCCCTCCCCCCCTCCCTCTCTGTTTCTCTTTGCAGGCTAATTGTAAAAGAGTCCATGGAACTAAAGGAACAAGAGGCTGAGGGATAAACAAGCAGAGCCTCCAGAAGCTCCACATTCAGAGTCGGCCTGGGAACCTGCAGCTTCTGCCAACACACCAGCTCGGAGAGAGAATCCGAGAGACGAGGAGCGAGAAGAAAAGAGAGAACGGAGGAGCGATCTCACACGGCTAGGCTCACAAACATCTCTGTGTGTGTGTGGTGCACGGGGAAGGTGGAGGACTCACATTGGTCGTCTTCTTGTAGTAGTCGATGTTGTGGACGTCTCTGGCCAGGCCGAAGTCAGCGATCTTCATCACGTTGCTCTCTGTGACCAGAACGTTCCGGGCCGCCAGGTCTCTGTGAATGCACTGAGAAAGAAGGGGGGAGGGGTCAACGAGTGGAAAAAAGTGAAGAAGAAGAAGAAGAAGAAGAAGAAGAGGAGAGTTAGCTCATCCATAAAAACATCAGGAGTGAAACAGGTGTAAGCTTCACGTGGAGCCGTGTTCAGGTGTCTGTGGTGGATGTGATCGTGCAGGAACAGGCCGCTCGACGTGACGCCATGATGACCGAGAGCTCCGACATGTCTGCATACGCTCGCATTCCTCTCATACTTTAACACATACATGGTCAGAGATGTCTCCGTGTGTGTGTGTGTGTGTGTGATCTGTCACATTCCAGCAGTGAGAGGGAGCATGAGGCTGCGTTGGCCAACATGGCCGTCCCCCCACTGTGAAACCCTCACCCTCTCCCACACAGAGGGGCTTTGTGGTGGGACGAGGGACAATGATGAGAGGGGGGAAGGGGGAGGGGGGTGTGTTTTTTAGGGAGACAACATTCCCACAGTGACACACATGCAAGCTTTCCACATAAACGGTCCTGGATCCAGCATGTGTGCTGGCAGAGAGAAGTGTGTGTGTGTGTGTGTGTGTGTGTGTGTGTGTGTGTGTGTGTGTGTGTGTGTGTGTGTGTGTGTGTGAAAACAGGATATTTGGTGATATTTTGTGTTGGTGTGTGTGTCCTCCTCTCACCTTCTGGGACGCTAAGTACTCCATCCCTCGGGCCACCTGATAGGTGCAGGACACCAGGTCTTTGAAGGTCAGCTGTTCGTCAGACACTCGGGCGATGTCGTACGAGTACTCCATGCCGGGCGGCCGGCGGGCGCGCAGGTACTCCCTCAGGTTTCCTTTGGAGGCGTACTCCACGATCACATAGAGCGGTCCTGCAGCGGAGAAACAACACACACATTACCTCCAGAGGTCGGACATGAACGATTCTCTTTCAGAGGAACGAAACTTAAGAAAGTAGAGGCTCTTATTTTGAAGGTTTAGACTTTAAATATCGTTTAAAGCCTTACTAACTGTGATGACGAGCTTTAAGAAAGGAGAGTTTCTACCAGTCTTTTCTCAGATTTATCGACTCTTTGACTTTAATCAAATCACTTCCTGTGTCATTAAAAAGCTTCCTGCTCGATCTGAAATGTTTCCCGGGACGATTGATGAGTTTAATATGTTCCGAAACATCCGGTCCATCTTTTGAATCACAGTTCAGCTTCCTCCTTCACAATAAAACAGAAAACTTCACCAACAAACTAAGAAGATCGTCTGAAGGAACATCTGTATGTTCTGATTCTTTGAGGCAGTGAAGTCGCTCTCCTCGCCCTCTCTCACCTTCTTGCGTGCACGCCCCCAGCAGATTGATGATGTTCTTGTGTTTTCCGATCATCTTCATCATCTCCATCTCTGACACCAGGTCAGAAAGGTCCTTCTCCGTGGCGTCGTCTGTGACACAGGAAGTTTCAGGTTCTCTTTATTACATTTGGCTGACAGGCAGATAAAACTACTCCAAACAGACCACAGAGGGATTCTTTCAGAGCGGGGGGGGGTTAAGACTCTTTTCATGGACAGGATTGAGCCAATAGAAACCAGACAGAGCTGCATGACCTGTATAAAAAAACAGTTTGGATTTGTTACTTTAAGGTGAAAATAAAAACTCCATATTTCTGTTTCCTATGTTGATCCACTTGCCTGTTGCTGTACCTGATCTGACCCACCACCCCCACACCCAACCCCCCCGACTCCCCCCTCAGCTTTGACTCTCCTCTTTGTGACGAAGCTCCAGCCAGCTGCTGCTCTGAGGTCAGGTATGTGACCGCCCCTCACCCTTACCTACACACAGCCTTCCCCCCCTCGTCAGTCAGCAGTCACCAATAAGGAGCCATAATGACGGCCTCAGGCTCCTCCTCACATCTCCTCTGAACTCTCAGAGCGGCTACACAAAACGTTCTCATGTTGCCCACCAGAAATAATGAAGCATCTCATTATACCGATGCTCTGATATTCATTTAACCGCGAGACGAACTCACCTTTCAGCATCTTGACGGCGACGGTCACAGCCTCCTTGGGTTTGTCCTTATCGATGCCCAGAGCCTCCGCCATCACTACCTGCCCGAAGCAGCCCTCACCCAGAGGTTTACCCAGAGTCAACCTGCAGAGACACAGAGGACGTTAGGATGCTGAAACACAAACTACAACCATCAGATAGAAGCCCCGCCCACACACATGTTGAACACCGCAGGAGACTAACAACTTCATTTAGACACATTTGTGTTCACGTCATCTTCTGGGTAACGTCCTGACACTTTCAGGATGCAATGAACGTGTGAAAGCAGCTAAAAACTCGAGAGAGAGAGTGAGAGAGAGAGAGAGAGAGAGAGAGAGAGAGAGAGAGACAGAGAGAGAGAGGGAATGAGACAGAGAGATATAGAGAGACAGAGAGAGAGAGAGAGAGAGAAAGAGAGAGAGAGGGAGAGAGAGAGTGAGGGAAGAGAGAGAGAGGGAAAGAGAGAGAGAGGGAGAGAGAGAGAGAGACAGAGAGAATGAAACCAGGCACAGAGCCAGTTTCCCAGCCTCACCCTGAGTGTGTTTTTTTACTACACCACTCTGTTTCATCACATCGTGTCTGTGTCTGTGTGAGTGTGTGTGTGTGTGTGTGTGTGTGTGTGTGTGTGTGTGTGTGTGTGTGTGTGTGTGTCTGTGTGTCTGTGTGTCTGTGTGAGTGTGTGTGTGTGTGTGTGTGTGTGTGTGTATGTGAGAGAGAGCTTCATTGGCGCGGTGACTGCAGCCTGTGCCAGGCCAGTAGGTAGAGAGCCGACATGGCGGTGATAATCGCCTGATAAACCCGGGGAGAGACTCTCCTCTCTAAACTGTTTACCCTGCTCTGGCATGTTCCAGTATACACTCCCTGCAAGTCATTACACAGGGCTGAGCTCAGCACGCACTCATCAGCCCGTGAGTGATGCACTGCTGGATCGGAGCAGACAAACAGGTGTCCGACTCATTGAAATGAAAGTTTGACTTTATTGCACAACATGTCACACAGCTGCTTCATCACACTTCATCTCACCGATCGATCAGGAGACGAGATAAACACAGACGTGGACTGTAACACGTGTCGTCTCTATGCAGGGATTTCAAACCTGGGTATGAGTCTAGTAAATGATATCTGTTTCATTTCCACGGCAACAAAAATGAAAGTACCAAGCCCCAAATATCTGCTCATTTATTGTTTCCAATGATCAAAGATTGCAAGTAAACTAAACTCCTGCACGCTGTCTTAACGTCACAGAAACATTTTAAATTTCTGCAAATGTTTTTGTGCAAATCAGTGTGAAGGAGTTTGTCTGCCATTTTGGATTTGTTCATTCTCCTCTTACACACCTCTCTGAGGAAGTAAATGTCGTTTTTTTTTGTTTTTTTTAGAGTTTCGATCCTTTTTGAGCCTCTCAAACATTAAATTAACAGATGGTATAATTTTAAAAAGGAGGCTTCATAAAATAATCAAACATTTTGACACCTTTACCTTCAACAACAGTGAGTCCCACCTCTGCACTCGTCTGACCCACATGCCTGTTTCATTTGATTGACAGGTGAAGCCCCGCCCCTCAGGCTCTGTGTACTGGCTATGTAAACACTCAGAGCGCGCTGCAAAGCCAAGCGCCCGAGGCCGGCGCCCTGCCGCTGTAACACAATCCCCCTTCTGTCCACACACTCTCCACACTCAATGGCAACCATTCTGTGCGTCCAGCCGCACATAATCAATGTTATTTTTCCTCCTCTCGCAAAGCGCTAACGTTAGCATTCCTCAGCTCACTGCCGTCCCAACACGATCCCTCAGGCTCTGGGGCGACAGGAGAGGAAGAAAGAGGCAAACAGAGCGGCACACACGGATTTATTCAGAGCACACAAAACTTCTTATGTGGCGAGTCCGTCAATTAAAATCAGAGTTCTCAGCAGAAAGCTCGGGTCTGTTTGCACACCAGAGACGCTGGAATTACTGCACACATGTTTGTCTCTGTGATCAGCCATGGTTACATTCATCGTCCAGCTTTTATACACAGACAGGCCGCTGTTTTGATTGGTTTGTATTTCTTCTTTTCTTTAAACCCAGAGGCCTACAATGGGATCAAACCCGTCTGACCTCTGCTGTTCTGTAAATCCTCCTGAAGCGGCTCACACTGTGACTAAGTGAAACCTCAGCCGTGATAATTCCTCCGCTATGAACGCCAGCAAACACCCCTCGGCCGAAACATGCAGATAAAAGCTGCGAGAGCTAACCGATAATTAGCACGGCTTCATTCCATCAGAAGCAGAGAGCGCCTGTGTGTGTGTGTGTGTGTGTGTGTGTGTGTGTGTGTGTGTGTGTGTGTGTGTGTGTGTGTGTGTGTGTGTGTGTGTGTGTGTGTGTGTGTGTGTGTGTGTGTGTGTGTGTGTGTGTGTGTGTGTGTGTGTGTGAATCAGGAGCCTCTATCTCAGACAGCCTGTACTCTCAGTTAGTCATCTTCAGGTGCCGTCTGTCAGACTTTAAGTCTCTGTGCAGTCATCAGGTCGTTTAGCAGCACAGATACAAACACACACACCCTCGTTGTGTTTGAACCTTTGACTGTAAGATGAAGATAGATGCATTAGCATGGAGGAGAAAGGGTTAAAGGTCCTGCTGTATAACCCTGAACTCTCTGCTTTTTAAGATTCTCCAGCTCCGTTCTTTAAACTCATTCAGGGCAACTGGTCCCAGTTTGGTTCAGTGTAGAGCTGAAATGTTAATTCTTTCTGGTTTCATCAATCAGGAAGGAAATGAAATAGGTCGGGTTTTCTTCTTCTGCAGCATTAATGAACAGGCTGTTTGAAAAGTTCTTTTGCTTTATTGGAGAGGAAGCTGGAGAGAGACAGGAAACATTCGGCAGAGAGAGAGAGAGGGGGGGGGGGCAACCTGAAGCAGAGGGCCAAGCTTGGATTCAAACCCACGGCCGGATAGCCTCTATACATCAAGTCCAAGATATAACCGCTAGGCTATCCGGCGCCCTATCAAGGGTCAGTTTAGCGTGGAGTATTGTTCTCACTCAGTGTTGCTACTTTCAGCCTGGACTCATTCTAGTGTTCATTTCCATTAGCTGGAACCGATAAAACCATCGGCCTTTCCCCTCCTGAGACGTTCCTAAAGATCTTTTATAATCACCTCCTTTGCTGGATAGTCTCACCTGAATCTCTGTCTTCTTCTGCTGAATTATAATTCAGTTTATTTACTACATTTTTTTTTAGATTGTTTGCATTATTATTTTACAGACCATTAAGAAAAGACACTTTAGTTATCGTTTCTATTTTCAATCAAAAACATGACACATCAGAGAAATCACTCAATAAAAATCTGCATTACAGTGGAGAGCAGCAGGACGTTTAGTCCCGGGAGATTCCATCTCTTCCATCTATTTTTACATTCAGTTGACAAGCCTGAATCAATGTTGTATTTCATTTTTTTCATTTTTTTAACCAGTAAGAATGTTAAGTTAAATCCTTAATGTATAAATCTCTTCTTATTCTCATTTTTTTAAGATTTTAAGTGCTTATTTACTATGTATCTATTCTTATATTGTTTTATTTGCTCTGATAACATGCTGCCGTAACAACACAATTTCCCACACAATTTGGGATCAATAAAGTAATTCTATTCTCTTCTAGTCTTTTCTAAATGTTGCACAAGATCGTCATCGTTGTTGTCCATGACGTCTAAGGAGTGCACTGAATTTGTGAAGCCATGTTTCTGATGCTTTCAGTTCTCCAGTGTTCTCAAATGCATCCCCAAAGTTCTCCTGTTCCTGCAGTAGAATCTGAAAACAACAATGTGCTTTACCTGTCTCGAGAGAACTCCCAGCGTGGATCCTCTGGAAGGTCGTACTCCGGGATTGGGTCGTCGTGCGCAGAGCTCCGCCGCGTCGTGATGCGTACCAGCGGCGTGCTAGAGTTCATGGACGAGCTCGAGTCCGCCGACACCTATAGGACGAGAGAGATTGGCTGATCACCGCAGTCTGGGCTCAAAGGTCAGAGAGAGCTCCAAGGCATCAAAGAGGAGTGTAAGGTGACCAATGTGTTTCAATCGTTTTTTTTTTTATTAAGAACTTAACGACGTCAGGGGCGTCCGTCTTTGTGTCCGAGGTTACATCACAGTGTGACAGTAAAAAGAGTTTCAGAGTGAACCATGCAGCCGGACTTACCTGCGCACAGGATCACGCTCTCCACAGGTTGATATTCAACCCGTTTTGTACCTTAGTAACAAACCAATCAGCTTCTCACAGAGATAAAACAGCAGCCTGAACATTCGCTTTAAGGCTGGGTGAAGATGTTTAAAGTTCAGCAGACAGAATCTATCAGGCTGTGTGGACTTTAGTAAACCAGCTGTAGTCTTCTTATTTATCAGCCATGCAGCTTACACAACACTTTGTGATATTTGAACATCAGCCTGCTGCTGTGTGAAACGTCTCAGGTGTGTGTCTGTGTTTGTCTCCTCTCAGGTGTGTGTCTGTGTTTGTCTCCTCTCAGGTGTGTGTCTGTGTTTGTCTCCTCTCAGGTGTGTGTCTGTGTTTGTCTCCTCTCAGGTGTGTGTCTGTGTTTGTCTCCTCTCAGGTGTGTGTCTGTGTTTGTCTCCTCTCAGGTGTGTGTCTGTGTTTGTCTCCTCTCAGGTGTGTGTCTGTGTTTGACTCCTCTCAGGTGTTAGATGCCATTAGAACTCTTTATCTACTTTCTGTTACCTGGCGGCGCAGTGGGATCTGTTTGCTCAGCTTGTGGACTGCCGGTTGGCCCCCAAAGTCAGGTTTCTTCGCCGTGTTCCTCATGCGACACACGACCACGATGCCGACCATGCAGGCGATGAGGAAGACGCCCGCGCAGTAAATCGCAATCTCCACGTAGTCTGGAGAGAGCGGGCCCAGGGGTTTCTCCAGAGCTGAGGTGGGGTAGAGAGGGAGGAGTGAGACGCAGGTCGGACAGAAACTCACTGACACACACACACACACACACACACACACACACACACAGGCACAGAGAGACAGAAAGCGTCGCTGCAGACGACTCCTCATGTGTGAATGTGAAACAGAAGATGTTCATGCATCCTCTCTTGAATCAGTCGGCCCTGAGCGGAGCTGAAACGTCTCCACAGACTTTAAATCTCGGCGAGTTCGAGCGGCCTGCATCTGTCTGCCTGCTGTGCTAACACAAACACACCCACGCAGGGCGGGAAAAAAAAAGGCTTCACTTCAGATTACAAACAAGGAAGAGCGCTGTCCTGCAAGGTCGTCTACGACCTGAAGCGCCCGTAATGGAAACAGGCTGCATGTGTGTGTGCTACAGAAACACTCTGCTCCGTGATGCTGCACGCTCCAGACCACAACTTCTAGTGCAGCCCGTCATCCAGCTGGAGGTGGAGGAACTTTTCTCCAGTCGGCCTCGTATCTGCAGGTCCAGGAACCACAGCGCGCGCACAGACAGCAGCCTCAAAGGCGCCGTCAGTGCAGAGGGAACTCATCCAGGGTCATAAATGTAACATATCACCCTCAGAGGAGTTTTCCCCTGTGATCTTTGGCTTGATTTGTTTACAGAAAAAAAAAGTGTCCTGTGGTTAGCACAGTTCATATTGCTGCAGACACTCAATGATCTCTTCTAATGTCTGCTTGCGTTTACATCAACATGACTTTTAAAATTCATTTTTTACCCTGGAGTCAATCTCAGAGCTGTGACGTGATACAGCCTCTTGGAGTGATGGCCTTATTTCCTGCTTTCAGGGTAGCCAGCGGTTATTCACATAAGAGATGAAGACATTCTAGTCTAGACTTCCTGCGTTCCTTTTGCTCTTTACACAACTCTTTTGAGCCTAAGCAAATACGAACAGAAACCAGAACCCTCTCTGACACCAAGTATCTCATTGATACAGCTTCTTGATTCTTTGAAGAGTCGGCTCACAGAGATATCTCTGCAGTGATCGTTTGGTTTGAGTAATGACAGGCCAGACATACAGCGACTAAATGAGGATTCAACCCTTTGAAGAACGACATCACAAATGGAGAAACATTCACAAACATGAGTGTGTCGTCGTGCAGCAGTGAAGACGTTTGGCTCTGATAATCGAGAAAGTCAAGCCAACGTTTCCGAGTGTTGAGCTCTAACTTTCGACCTTTATTTCAAGCAGAAATGAGGATCTTCAAAGACGCCGATTATCAGAGCCAGGAAAGGAGTAGAGAAACGTTTCAACGCTGAAATTAGACATGCAGAAGCAGAGCCATGATGTGGCACTGATAGAAGAGGGAGATGTAAAAGAAGACGGACGACAAACCCCTCCCCTCCTTCAGGAGTCTGGACACACTCCAGCTGCAGCTTCATTTCCGCCTCTCGTCTGAAAAACGAGCTTGTTATCTGCTCGGAGCTTTCAACAGCTCAGATCTTTGAATGTTTAACTCTGCTCTTATGTTACACCATCCTGAATGTTAACCATCGACATCATATATCTGTGTGTCTCAGACTCAGAGGGGAGGACCTGACGTCCACAGAGGTCATTCAAAGTCGAAGTCCAAAGAGTTGAGAAAAGTCAGAGAGTCAAAGAAAGGAGAGTTTAGAGTGTGTATACCTGGAAGCACCGTCAACCAAGCAGTGTGAAAGGAGATCCCAATAGAATTACCCGCCAAGCACGTATACTCCCCAGCATCCTCAAAAGTTACATTGGGCAAGTAGAGAACTTCTATCTCCTTATCTGTAGTGTTAACACCTGCAGTCTGGGGAGAGGAGGAAGAGAGGAAGAGGAGGAGAGGAGGAAGAGGAGGAGGAGGGGGTGAAGATCAGAGCAGACGGGGAGTCACAGAGGAAGTTGGGGGGGGGGGGGGGGGAACAGAGAGAGGAAGAGAAAAAATGAGACCCAAAACACCAAGAGAGGAATAAAAGAGGAGCTGGATGCCGTCCATCGTCGAGGTTCCTTCTAGGGCAAAGGATGCTGGGAGTTTCCATGGATGAGAAGACAGACACAGACAGAACCCAGTACACCACCAAAACATGAAAAACAGAACCAAAACACCAAATAAGAAGGTCCCCGACACCAACACAACCTCTGCACGTTGGCGTGAACACATGCACAAACACAGAGAGCATGGAGAGCACGGCGCTGCAGCTGCATACACCGCCTGACACAGCCACCACAGAAGAAGAAGAAGAGGAGAGGCTCGCCGTGTCAGGGGGGAGTGTATGAGCGCAGGGCGGGCTCGTGCTTCCATGTCTGCAGCCGTCTGAGCAGCACAGGGAGGGAGCTGAAACACAAAGGGTTAAAGGTCAGGGGGGGAGAAGGTCTGTGAACCCTAAGACCACCAAGAGACCACCAGCAGGACCACCACACCACAGCAGGGCGGGGACAGAGCCCAGGAAACCACAGCGGGGGGGCGGGGGGAGGGGAGGTGGGGTCAGGGGTCTCGGGGTTACCTGGGATGACAGTGAGCCAGCCCGACTGGTTGGCCTCGCCTATATAATTGGAGACTTTACAGATATACTCTCCAGCGTCTTCCTCCGTCACGTTGGTGAGCGTGAGCATCTCCACATCGGAGCTGTTAATGCCTGAACGCTGCACACACACACACACACACACACACACACACACACACACACACAAACACACACTCTTCAGATATGAACATTTAAAGCAGACTCAATCAGACGTCACGACTGTGACTGCTGGATGTGGATCTACGATGGCGAGAAAGCAGGATTCATGGACAGCTGCAGCCTGGAAACACGTTTCACTCGATAAGAGATGTAACGGTTAACTCCTTCATGTTTTCATCCAAAACACCTGAAAAAAAAAACACCAAGAAGAAACTCCTCCCCGGAGAAGGAGGTGCGGTCATTTTACCTTTAAGACTCGGACATAGGGGTGTCCATCGGGGCCGTAGCGGCTGCCGTTCTGAGTGATGTGTTTCAGCCACTGGATGTGAGGTTGTGCGTCGCTGTACACTTTGCAGACGAAGCGGGCGTCCTCGCCGACGTGCACGCTGGTGTTGGCGGGGAGGCCGGCCTGCAGGATGGGCCGGTGAGGAGAGCGCTCTGTGGGGAGGGAGGGAGAGATTTGTTTTAGGATGCAGGTTCATGAGCTGAACAACAAACGTCTCCTTGTGTTAAAACCCTGATCATGGGCGGTTCTAGGCAGGGGCCAACAGGGGCCAGTGCCTCTGTGACACTGAGCTTGGACCCCCCTGTGGCCACCCCTCCAAAAGGAAGAGCCCCCCTAATAACACATGTACACAGTATTTGACTCGAGGTCTCAACTGTCCCATGATATTTGATGCTGTGGTATTTAATGATGTGTGCTATTATTTGGCATGATATATATTTATTTTTTTTAAAGCGATCATCTTTGCCTATTTTTCACCTGGGTTTAATGTTCCCCTCTGACAAAACAACTGGCCCCCTCAGTAAAGGTGGTCTAGAACCGCCACTGACCCTGACAACCAGCAGGGATCCAATCAGTCATCCTGTTTCTCCGCCTGTTATATTGTGAAGTTTTAAACTCTGGTATTGTAACAACCACAGTGGAGCTGAACTTCCTAATGAAAGTTCTTTATGTCACACTGACTGAATGTAAGCCTTCGATGGCTTGATAATAAAAGCCGTCGGCGCTCAAACCTAAACGTTTAGGACGTGCGTTGCTTTGCAGAACAACTTGACATCCTCTGCTGGTGAATATTCCCAGCAGCCCTGAGAGGGGAAGCCTCTGCTGCTTCTTATCTCAGAGGCTTCAAACAAACAAAGAGGAGGACCAGGAATTTACTATTACAGATAAAGAGCTCAGGTGAAGGAGGGTGAAGCAGACTGCATGTGAGTGGAGGTGTCAGAGTTGGACAGAGAAATACCTCCGAACGCCCCCACCCACGCACCCCCCCCCCCCCCCATACACACACACACACCATCTCCTGCGATCTGCATTCTTTAACACGCAAACATTCGGTCTGAGAATCCAAACAGAGCGAGACCTCCTGAACAATGCCCCCTTTCAAACACCACCCGGCCTCCACTAGCCCGGAGGAGCCCCCACAACCCCCACACTGACGGCACCCACACACACACACACACACACAGAATGACATCACTCTGCCTGTGGCCCTGCAGTGCCTTCACAAAACAAAGCCTGAAGGTAGGTGCAGTAAATTCATTCTTGCGCAAGACTTGTTGTGTGTGTGTGTGTGTGTGTGTGTGTCTAAGGTTGGCCAGGGTCAGAGGGTGAGGCTGTGATGAAGGGAGGAGGCTCGTGTTGAGAAACAGGACTGAAAAGGAGGACGAATTAGCTGGAAGAACAGATGGAATAAAGAGCAGGAAGACACTTCTTCAACGTTTGTGTGTGTGTGTGTGTCTGCCTGCTCCATCTTTCTGAAATCTGTCAGATCAGATGATTCCCACCCTCCCTCCTCCGTCCTCCACATTCCTCGAGCTCGCCTTGTTTATTGTCTCTCTCTCTCTTTTTCTCTCCATCCTCCGTCTTTCTCCGACCAGCTCTGACCCACAGAGGGAACGTTTAAAAAAACCTAAGTGATATATATCTCTCTACTGAAACTAGCTGATCTTGCCCTGATGTGAGCGCTGGAGCCTTCACAGTGAGACAGTCTGGGTGTGCGTTCACAGAAAACAGGCCACATCATGATCCCGGAGCTGCCCAAAACTATAAAAGTTTGTGGAGCAATTCCTGCGTAAATTAGAAAAAGGTCTATCGCCTGAGCGTGTGTGTGGCCGAGAGCAGAGAGTCGGAAGGAGAGGGAAAGAAAAGTGGAACAGACGGAGCTCAATGTTTTGAAGAGAACATGAAGTTCAACACTTTACTGAGTACTCCTAGTTCACTTTAGTCGTTCCACTCGAGGCATTTCAGAGCTTCAGTTTTGACTTTTTACATTCATCGCTCTCACAGCTGAAGTTACTCTTTAACCACCTGTGTGTGTGTGTGTGTGTGTGTGTGTGTGTGTGTGTGTGTGTGTGTGTGTGTGTGTGTGTGTGTGTGTGTGTGTGTGTGTCTGAGTCTTTTAAAATAAAACACAAAAGAACTCAATAAATAAAAAAAGCTTGAAACTTCTCACATGGTTCTAATAACTTCACCCGTCAGAGTTTGACTGAAAAGCAAACATGAGAACAAACTCTGAGAAGTCAAAACAGATCTGCGTGTCCAACGTTGTTTTCTCTTCTCCTCTCTCGCATTAATCTTCTCACGACCTCTCACGTTTATTCAGTGACCTTTAGGGGGGGGGCTGCTCCAGAGGTAGGGAACTACCTGATAAGCTAGATGAAAGTATTTACACCTTTAGTGGCCGAGTAAGTTCAACGACTGAGGCGATCGTTTTAACTATTTAATTCCCGTCACTCAAAGTTTCAGTGCCAGAACCAGAAGTTTGATACTCGGAGTAAATCTGCTTTTCATTTCTTCATCGTTAAAATCCAAATGCAGGAGAGCTGTCAGGTTCCTGTTCCAGTACTTTAAGGTTCCTGTTCCAGTACTTTAAGGTTCCTGTTCCAGTATTTTAAGGTTCCTGTTCCAGTACTTTAAGGTTCCTGTTCCAGTACTCTGATACTCTGATACTCCGATCGGAACATTTTCTTTCATCAAACTGAATGAGCGACCCTGCAGAGTTTTTTGTTGACCCGTTTCTAAACTGAATTCATTAGTGGATGAATTTGATGGGACAGAGGCATAGAGAGGCGTGAGGAGACAGCCCGGGGGCATTCCATGGTGTCCCATGCCAGACAGATGAACTCTGGGTAACCTGGCGTCCTGGCACACGGGGGCCTGGCGGTCGGGGGAGGGGCGAGGGCTGAAGAAGAGCGCAGCATGGCACAGGATTGGCATGAAGAGGCCGACAAAGTGCATTTAATAACGGATCCTACAGGTCATCTCGGCACACAAAAAGAGACTGATAAGAGCAGGTTTTCAGTCTCTGCCCATCCCCCCCCACCCCCCTCGGTCTATCCATCCCCCTATGACAGAGGAGAATGAAGCATGAGGCTGCAGAGCCAGACGTGAAGGGGTTAACTGCTCTGCAATAAAACCGAACAAAAACAGAAACATGCAGACTGAAGGAGAGCTTTAGTAACTCCAGAGGGGAGCAGAGCGGGGGGCCACGTATGTGTGTGTGTATGTGTGTGTGTGTGTGTGTGTGCGATCATGTGCAGAACCTTTAGGTATTTAATCTCCATCTGATATAATGGAAAGAATCCTTCTCACCATGGAAACGCTAATGAAAATGCGAGTGTGTAATAACAGTAGGAGAAGAACTGTGATGACCGGTCCTGAACGCCCCTCAGTGTTTTAAACGGCAGCAGACTCTGCAGAATAAAAAACTATGTCAGACAAACTTTGATCTGCCGCGTTGTGGTTTGAGTGAGGTCAAAGGAGAACGGGTCTATGTCCACAAACACACGCTGATCTACTCTCTTTAACCTCCTCTCCTCGTTGTCCACGGCATGCATCGATTCTGCAAACTGAGCAGAAAGGCTCTCTTTGATTTCTGAGCTCCAAAGTTCACAGATGGGGGGGGGGGGGGTTACTGAGTTAGGTCTGAACTCACTGAAACACGATGAGAGCCACCAGCTCAAGTCCTCAACACACCTCTGCACTCCTAAAGCCCTGCCCACTCGGACAGATAAAAAATAAAAACTTAAAGAGTTCATAAATGTTTAAAAAAAACCTCCAGGTTGGTGCATCTTATGTTGTCATGACCTCCACGGAATGTTTAAAACTATAGATCTTTAAACTCATAATATCATCTTAATCATGCAGGATTATTAAAAAAGCATCAAATAGTAAAATGATGGAAACTCCATTAAAACTGGTGACACACAGCTTTAGCTTCTGCACAGCTGGCAGAACTCCAGAACCTGCACCTGCATCCAGAGAGCACCTGGACCATCACACACACACACACACACACACACACACACACACACACACACACACATATACATACAGTACTCTCACTGTGAGAACTTTTTCCTGCTGAGCTCCGCCTCCTCCACCTTTGTACTCTGGTAGCTAAATATGTGTGTGTGTGTGTGTGTGTGTGTGTGTGTGTATATGGTACTGACCCACTACGTCTAGTGTGTACGTGTGGTTGATGGCTCCAAACTCGTTCTCCACCAGACAGGTGTAGTTGCCCTTATCAGACGGCACCACGCTCTCCATGATCAGGGTCCAGTGCTGGCTGCGTACCTGTTGAAGAGAGGGAGGGGTTAATGTTGTGGAACTTTTTAGAAACACACACACACACCTGAGACACACACCAACAGACACACACACCAACAGACACACACACATGCACAGGGAGCTAATTGATGAAAAGAAGAGTTGGAAGGGAGAGCAAAAGACGAGCGCTGAAAATGATTTCAAGGCCGAACTATTGGGAGACAGGTACAGCTACTTTTCCAGGTACAGGTCCACATTTAGCCGTTGGATGCAGACTCCCATTGCAACATTTAAATTCCTGCACAAACTTGAATCGCTCTCCTGTGTAAACACACTCGACAATAAAAACCCAGACTCTGAATCTGGTTCTCATTCCTGCCAACTCTCTCCAACCCTTCCCTGTTATTGGTCTAGTTCTTCTGTCAGCCCCTGTTATCTTGCGTAGGAAAGCCCGGCCTGCTGACTGACACAGTGTGTGGAATCTACAGGTGTGAGCCCACAATAGAGTTTCCGTCTGCACAGCGAGCAGAGACTGTAGCTGCTGCTTGTTCAGGCCGAGCTCTAACACAAAGGAGAGATTAGAGCGCAGGGCCGGGCTCAGGTACGCCTTTGTCCCTCGGCTGTTGACAGAAAGAGAGTGGTGATCCGCTCACAGAGAGTCTGACCCGCTGACTCTTTCCTTTCCGTCACGTTGAGGCAGCTTTTTGTCTACGCTGTGATGAGCTCGCTGAAAGACGACATCAGCAGCTCCGTCCACATGATCCTCTCTGAGGTCGTTCATACTTTAGATACTCTGATACTTCTTAATAAAATGTGTTTACAACGACACAATCTCTCTGCGATTTTAATGAGTCCCAAAACTACAGACCATCAGTCATGTGTTGACCCAAACAGAGAGAGAGCACTCTCTCCAATGAAACGTTTCCGATGTGAAGCGTCTAATCCGAGTCCTTACTCTCTCCACCTGAGCTCAGATAAGGAGTTGCAAACACACACTTTTCATAAAGCACGCTCAGAGACATCGGCTGCAATAACTGAAGAAATCTATTAAAGACGAACTCGAGTGGATTTTTCCAGCCAAATAAAAACACAAGTCCTCTGATTGAACAGCGATGCGATCGGAAAGCCGTTACTCTCCGCCATCGAAGCGATGGTCGGTAACCATTTGAAGGTTACCGACCATCGCTCTCACGGCCACAGACACCAGGTGAAGCGCACAGGTCGCACACACAAACATCAGGTTATTCTCAGGTAAATTGCAACCAACATGCGGTGAAACCAAGTGAGTGAACAGATTTATCCAAACTGAAATACTTCTTCCATTATCAGCCTTTTGTTTCAGAAACTTTAAAACAGGCTCCAGCAGACAGTGTGCACCCGGTGTTTGGTGTCAGGGACCTCCCCCTTTGTTGCTGTGGTATTAAACAGGCAGAGATATTTATTTGATTTATTCCAGAATCATCTTGAAGTCTTGTGTCTACTCTGCTCCTAAACTCGTCACACAGACTCGTTCTGTTCAAACTTTGATTCCTGCTCCTGTAAACATACAGTAATTTCTGCTTTTATTAACAGACGCACTGAGGAATTTATGAGAACCAGGACCAAGCTCGAATCTAAATAGACTCCGTCACACTGAAGGAATTCTTTATAGTCCGTCTCGTTGAAGCTGTTTTCAGGTTTTTTTTCAAACCAAGAGGAAATAAAACTCAACAACACTGGCTTTACTTTCCCATGACGTTCAGAATCAGGTATTTTTCTGCACATATAAATCTACTCAGACTGTTTGTTTCCCAAAACGGACCGGAGCGAGAGATAGTTCACAACTGATCCAGAGCGTAGACGCTCTGCACAGGAAGACGTCTCAGCTGACAGAGACGACCTCTAAATGAATCCTTCTCCAGGGGATGCGTTCAGGTTTATTTATTGTTTGAATCTGCAGACAGTTTGGCTTCTTTCTGCACAGTGTTTTAATCAGGGAGTCAAAAAGCTGCAGCACACCGAGCCCCATCATTTAAACTTTAACCCGCTCAGGGACTGTTTGTGAATCCCTCTTCATAACAATAGTGTTCACATACTCACATACAAACATGTTCACATACTCGTCTCCAACCAGACCTGTTCTCCCTGATTGAGTTACCTCAGTGCTCTGAACTCATCTCAACCCTGACGCCGCCTTCTTCTATACATTACTGTCCGGGGGCATTTAACCCTTCAGTCCCGGGCTTAAGTTTCTAATTGTTGGGGTTAGAGAAGCATTTGGAGTTACAGAGAGAGGCTCTGCAAAGTATCCTGGTGAGAGGAGGTGCATGGATGAGCAATTCCAATTTCACACCAGAAACCCTGCCCCTCGTTTCCTCCGTCTACTCTCCCCCTGTCTCTCCAGTGAAGGGTGGAGAAGGGGTGAAAGGACGACCGGGGGTTGATTAGGAAAGAGGCCTGACGTTCTTTGTAAACACGTTCACAAACTGGCCTGAAGAACAGCAGCTCGGAAAGCAGCAAAGAGCTAAAAGAGGCGGCAAGCTGACGTTTGTCATAATCTGCTCAGATACACATTCAGCCTTTGATACCACAGGTCATTACATTCTGATTAACCACCCGAAGTTTGGGTAGTTGTCTCTGATTGGCCTGACGATATATCACCTGTGGAGTACCCCAAGGCTCACTTCTTGGTCCCCTTCTCTTTCCCATCTAAATACTTCTCTTGTTCTTCCATAAACTTGTTTACATAGTTATCCAGACGACACACAGTTTTATCTATGAACACAAGATGATCTTGACTCTCTAAGAAACTGAGTGAAGGACATCAAAAGTTGGAAGTTACGTCGTGCATCCCTCCTTTTTTAAACCCTGGAACAAAAACTAAAATGCTTTGATTTAATCTGCTTTAGCCCGCTGGAAGTATCTTAACACCTCCGTCGGCCAAAAGTCTCCAGCTTGTTTAAAATTCTGCAACAAGAGCTCTTACTTGAACTAACCATAGAGATCAGGGGACTTTAATTTGTTCCACAGTCCAGGATCCAGACTGAAGGGGACTAAAGGTCCTCACCCTAAAGACTGAACACCTTTTGATTCGTTCTTTTGAAGGTTTTTTTTTTTATATTTGTCATTTGAGCTGACGGTCAGTCCTACCTTGTACCCTCCCATGCGGTCCTCCTGGCGGAACGGTCGGCTGTTTTTCAGCCAGCGTAGTCTGGGTCGGGGGTTTCCTCCTGCAGCACAGCGGAACTTCACCGTGTTCGCAGCCGGCACCGCGTGCAACTTCTTCTCCATCTTCGCCGAGGACGTCCAATAGGGAGCACCTTCAAGGACAAAAAAGGCGGAGTCAAGTCAGGGTGAGTTGTTTTATGGATAAATGTGATGATGGGTTTGTAGTCTGTGATTTTAAAGAATCAACGCCTTAACATGCTTCAGGCACAAACATGCTGAACAATAACACAGTTCTTTAGTGTAGAATGACTTTGTTCACTTTAAGATGAGCAAATCACCAACTAAAATTATATACCTCACATGTAGTTGTTTTTGGACATTTTAATATGAATTGTGACAAATTAAACCTTTAAATCAGAAAACATTGGACTTATTTTGACCCAAATAACCAAACCAGCAAATATGTTTTGAGTTTAAAAGGTTCAAATCTGATGATTAAATAAAGGTGCAAAACCCGATGACTCTTGTTGTAAATATTTCCGTGTTTTATGAACTTTGTGCAAAATTTGTTTTTGAAACATGAAGATCTAACCGTAAAAAAAGTCAACAAGACAGAAAACATTGTGCACAATCTGTGAACTCTTTTAATTGTTTTTAGTGGTTTCATTGCCCGTCAGTCGTGATCGTTTCATTACATTCTGAATATTCTGTTTTCCAAAAGAGCTGGTTTTTAATCTGAAGCTCTGACAGACTCTAACAGTTTGTCTTCGGGGGGTTTTGGACCGACTGAGGCAGAAATATTAGGAAGCGTGACTGCAGAGGAGCCAAACCTGAACCATTCCTCACACCCCCACAGACCCCCCCCCCCCCAGCTCCACTAAGTGACCCTCCGTCTGCGTAACACACTCACACAGTCAAACAAAAACACACTCTCTCCTGCAGGCTTGGCGGGCGTCACAGAGGAGGGGGGGAGAATGTGGCGGGGCGTTGCCAAGAGGGTAACTAGACCATCACATTCAATTTCATCTCATTCTACTTAGCAGCTTTTTTCTCCCCCTCCACTTCCTCCCATTACCCAAAACTCGCCGTTTATCTGCTGTCACAGAGCTGGATGTGGACGGGGGCGCTTATCACGGCGGGAAAATCATTATGAGCCGTCAGGGGAGGAAATGAATGTCACGTTTAAGAAGGAGCGCACTTTGGTCCAGATTCGATCGACGCCAAACTGTTCCCATTCCTCCTCCTGAAATCTGTCACCTTCATCATGTTTGGTTGTTCCCTGGTTCCTTTTTTTCTCCAGATTCTCTCGGTCAGCTGGATTTCCCTCCGAGCCCCCACCCCCCCCTTGCACCTGGGAGTGTGATGGCCGCAGCAGATGGGACTCAGAGGGGAAGAGGAACTCAAAGTCAAACAACAACCCAAACGGTCCTCCACACTATCTTTCCTTTAAGAGCAGAGAGAGGGAAAACCCACAGATAAGACTTCAGAATGACCCCAAATCTAAGTTCACGTCCCTGAAGAGGGTTTACTCAAAGCCCCCTCCCTCCAATCTGCATACTATCAGACTCCGCCCATCATTTCTCTGGCATGCACGGCCGGATGTGTCGTGCATTCTTGGATAGTAAAATCAGTAAACAGAGCTCTTCCTTCCTGAATCGATGCATGCGACTAAACTCAAACTAAAATTAGTCTGTCCTTATTTTTTCTCTTACTATCTGCTCCTCTCTTCACCTCTCTTCCTGTCATCACCGTGTCCACTCAGACAGAGACAGATGAGGTGGAGGCTCGCTCGTTGCGAGGCCGTCTCTCGGAGTCGACCTCTGACTCGAGCTGGCAGCAGGTCGGAGGACGAGGTTGGGACATGAAAGGTGAGCGGGGCTGTTTCCCATGCTCTCCGTCCGGAGGGGCAGCACTTCAAACGAGACGACCCTCAGACCTCTGCGGATGAAGACAGACTCTCACTGCTGCAGACTCCAGGAACCCCCGCCTCCCCCGTCTCCCCCAAAGCTCCAAGCATCCGGATCCCCACACGGCTGTTTATCCTGAGCTGACCCGGGTTAAATGAGGTTATCTAACTGCTGCACAGAGAGTCCAGATTGATTGTATTACTCAGAGTTTGTCCAGAGAATCCATCAGTATTTTAAACTAAATGTTAAAGTGATATCCTCCTTTTTTACAACATGGCGGCTCTGTACAGCGTGTGAATGTAATAACGTGAGCAATAAAACAGTTTTCATTGTATTTATACTGCGGCCATCTTCCTCTGACATCATACTCGCGGTGTGTCGCTGTTTTCATGTCGTGAGCTTTACATTTGCACCTCCCTCTGGACCGGGGGATTATACGCTCCTGATCATTTCCCTTCTTGCAAATGGATCATGAACTGTAAAGACGACGGGTCGTGATGTTTTTGTTTAAGAACATTAGGTGAAACAACACGTTAGCTAACACATTAGCTACCATCTGAAGGATGCTAACATTAGCTTTCAACTGCTTTCCAGCTCAAATTCCTGCAC